CCAAGCTCTCCCCCCTTCAGGCGGGACGTCTCCGCGTGCTGCAGTGACGTCACACGAGCGAGCGCCTCTGACGCAGCCCTTCTCTCCACCGCCCGGCCAGCCGGCCCGGGCCCGGGGCCGCCGCCGACGTCAGTCCTCCTCGCAACCGCCAGCCAAGCAGAAGCAGACGACGCCACCCAACCCCAAGCAGTGCTACAAGTGCCAACAGTGGACCACGGACCCAACGCACACATCCAAGACCTGCGGAGAGCCTCATCGCTGCCGTAAGTGTGCGGGAAATCACCGGGTCACTGATTGTAATTCTCTTTCTTTTCGCTGGTGTGCAGTGTGCCAGAACAACCACGCTGCGTCATCACGGGGCTGTCCTGGACGCCCCCCAAGACCGTCTCCCCCGCCCGAGAAGCCCAGCCAGCCTCGAGGACGGGAGAAGTTCAAGACTGGAAGAGTGTAATTTCTTCTCGCCAAGCTCCTCAAGGAATTGCTAAGTTGAGTGCCTCTTTAAACTTTTTTTTTATGTGCACTTGACATCTCTCTGCCTTGAACTCTTTGTGCCCTCACTAATGCTCTGGTTGTGTGTTGCAGGGACCGCAAGGTCAATACCCCCTACTTGTGCCACGCGCGTCCCTGCGCACCGCCAGTGGCGTGGGGTAGCGCCACGCGCTTTGCGTGGAGTATCGCCGCTCGGCTCTGAGCCGGGCCTGCCGGCGCCGCAAGAGTAGCGCCACAGCACTTGTCATGGGGTAGCGATGTCCCCCCATTCTTGAAATTATTTCTGCTTCTACATTTTTATATGGGGTAGCGATGTCCCCCCATTTTTGAAATTACTTCTGCTCTTACGCTTTTATATGGGGTAGCCATGTCCCCCCATTATTATTATTATTCAATTATTCTCTGTAAATCTGATTTACTATCATGCATTGTTTATTACCTAAAACCTGTAACATTCAATTATTTTCTGCGTGCTAATCGATTTTAGCAGCTTGTTATATTTTTCAAATCCATAACTCTGTAATTTAACTATTTGGTTCAATAAACCAGCAATAAACCGAGGACTGGTTGAGGGGCCCGGCCGGGCGTGGCAACTGACTCTCCGCTAGCTAGAGGGGCGCTGGTGCCAGCTCGGCATGCAAAGGGGCGTCCACGTCTGCGCCTGCGGTCGATCAGCTACCGAATGCCAGAATCCCCATCCACGTTCCTCTTTCATACCACTGACGTGCATTTGGTCGCAGGTCAGCGC